AAATTTTAAAGAAAGCAAAGAGAGATTATGATGCTCAAGAAATAAGTAAAGCAGGAAAAAACCCTAAAGCACTTTGGGATACTATCAAAAAAATCACAAATACATTCCACAATAAACAAGCAACATGTCAGTTAGTTACACAGGCAAGGTCTCTAAAACAATCATGTTAATAATGTTAACAAATTTTTCGTTGATGTAGGAAAGGAGCTTGCGGACAATATAATCAAGTCTAACAATTTACCTCAATTTACTTCTTCACAATCTTTTACATGTATTTCTTCTTTTGTTCTTGAAAAACCCAATACTGATGAAATAATATCAATCATAAAGAGTTTAAAGTCAAATGTAGCTACCGGTTGGGATGCCATATATTCCGCAATATTAAAAAGATACTCTGCTATGCTAGCACCTGTGCTAAGCCATATATTCAATGTCTGTTTCGAAAATGCTATTTTTCCTAACTCTTTAAAAAAGTCTATAATTCATCCCATCTTCAAAGGTGGTGATGGGACTTTAGTTACTAATTATCGCCCTATTGCCGTACTACCAGCTTTATCTAAAGTCTTAGAACGTTTAGTGAACAATAGACTGGTCCATTATCTTGAACACTTTAAATTAATCTCACCTCAACAATTCGGATTTCGTAGAAATAAATCAACTTCTGACGCAGTTCATGAATTAATAAATTTCATAGTCACTAATCTAAATAGTCATAAAAAGGTCCAAACGATATTTCTAGATCTAGCAAAAGCCTTTGACTCAATTCCTGTTTCTACTCTTTTAGCTAAGTTGGAGAAAATTGGTGTCAGAGGTTTACAGTTAGACTTTTTCAGAAGTTACCTTACAAATCGCACTCAAATGGTTAAAATATCGGACTGCATCGGTGACGAACTCCCTGTTACCTATGGTGTCCCCCAGGGAAGTATTCTTGGCCCAACTCTATTTCTTGTTTTATTAATGACTTGTGCAATCTTCACATTGATAACGCAAAAATAGTCTCTTCTGCAGATGATACAGCTATTACTTTCTATGCAACATCTTGGAAAGATCTTGAAAATATATCACAACGTAGTATTAATCAAATATATAATTGGCTTTTATCTCACACTCTTACTCTTAATACTTCCAAAACTAAATTTATAACTTTCTCTATCAGTCCCACCTCGCAACCAAATATTCCCATCAAGTTAAAAGCTCACTCTTGTTCCCTACAGTCTTCGCCTTGTCTGTGTCCACAGATAAATTCTGTAGACAATATAAAGTATCTAGGTATTGTACTTGATAAACACCTTAATTTTAAAATGCATATAAATCTCTTAACGAGTAAAGTTCGCAAACTAATATATATATTCAAAACACTACGATATGTTGCAAATTCCATAATTATACGCAACGTTTATTATGCTTTATGCCAGTCTATCATCACATATTGCATTTCTTGCTGGGGTGGTGTTGCAAAAACAATATTAAAGCCACTTGAAGTTGCGCAAAGAGCTATCTTAAAGGTTGCTACTTTTAAACCAATGCTATTTCCAACTACTCATCTATATCAAAACTGCGCTGTTCTTAGTGTGAGGCAGCTCTTTATACTGCACACAGTATTACTACAGCATAATAAGACTCCTTTCATTGTAATTTCTAAACGGCGTAAAGACAAAGTATGCTCACTTCCGCTAGCCAATTTTTCATTTATAAAAAGATTTTTTTATTATCTAGGTCCTCTACTTTACAACAAAATAAATGCGGAAGTAGAGATTTACGAAATGTCAACATTTAATTGTAAAACTTCTGTCCGCTCTTTCCTGCTAAAAAAGTCATATGATGATACAGAGCAATACTTGTTAACACACACACACACACACACACACACACACACACACACACACACACACACACACACACACACACACACACACACACACACACATACACACACACACACCCAGAGAGAGATCATTTTTATTATGTCTCAATGTAATTGTATTTCTATTTAAAAAATTATAATAATTTTAAACAATACAACTATGTATTCCTAATCAACAGGGGGGATGGGAGTGTAACTGTATCTCCTAAATACAGGTTACTCAGTAACCTAGCTAGGAGACTCAGGTTTCTACCCATTTCAAATTGTGAACTATGAATGTCAATAAAGAATTATTATTATTATTATTATTAAATAAAATCAAAACAATAATAGTTAAAGACACAGGTTCTTTATTAGGTGGAGTATCCTTGATGGGCGTAGATAATTGGTCGAGGACATATCAAAATAAAACAAATTTGTAAACACTGTTACACATTTTAATGAATAGAGTAGGTACAAGATGTTTTAATAAATGACTACCTATCATTTATTTAAACAATTATTCAGACTCTGAACCAGATTCGCCAGAGCTGTCATCGCTATCAGTCACTTGTATGACAATTTCATTCTCTATAATGGTGTCCACTCTTATATCGCGTTCATAATCTTCTGTTATTAGTTTTCGAGTCTTTTAGACGACCTTGACCCAATCTTCTTTCGTTATTTTGCTGCAAGCATCTTTTAATAGACCCATCATTTTATTAGTACTGAATTTTTTTTTTATTCTTAGAAAAAAGGGCTTTGTCGCTGAAGCGATTATGACGCCCTGGTACAAGAAAATTCTTAAATAGGATAAATACTAACAACTATATAAACTTATTAATTACTTAATCTCTTATTTACTAACACATAAAGTTTTTTGGCATCTTCTGATAACGGGTCTGATAAAATAATATTAATACTGCCAATCAATGATAAATGTATGTTACAATTTTTTCTTTCTCCAGAGTTCTGGACACATTCTATCAATATGTGATAAACATCATCGATAATGTTGCAAGTTGAACAGTTTGGTGAGGTAGTTTTTCGCATCAAGTATGAAAATTTATTGCATGGATGTGCCCAGATCTGAGTCTTAATGCTGTTACAGTGTCGCGTCTACACAATATTCGGTTATCTATCCAGGTTGAGCGCATTGGAAACGGCTGGATCGTACGGTACCATATACCCTTCTCTTTTGCTCTTATATCAAAATATTCCTTCCAAAGGTCATAACAATTTTTTTTTAATAACGGTATATAGTTTTGAAATGAAGGGGTAATATTAATATCAGTGCCTTCCGAAATAGCTTGTTTGGCCAAAATATCAGCTTTTTCATTACCCTCTAAGCCAATGTGCGAAGGTATCCATTGTAAATGTACTATTATGGAGTCAGCCTGCAACTTAACTAGAAGCTTCAAAATCGCATATGCTACTGGTAAGCCTCGAAAAACCGAAGTACACCGAGCAAGATGTTGAAGCGCACTCCTTGAATCTGTTAAAATAACCACATTGTTATAGTTACATGATTGTATACAGGATAAAGCTTCATAGATTGCTGCAAGTTCAACTTCCATAATAGAAATATTAGTATTAATTTTTAACTTTATTGCCATATCATTTAATATATCGTAAAATGAAACCCCGTTTCCGAAATTATCTTTCGAACCATCTGTAAATATCCTCAGATAATTCGGGTAATGTTCGTTTAGGTAATTAATACACATGTTTTTTATGGTCAATACATGGTACTGATGTTTAGGGTTTAGAACTCCGTCTATATTTGGTCTTAAAATATCTGAAAGGTTTAAACTAGTGATCCACTGATCCAGAGAAAACATACCTAACTGTGAGCTTGAGTATATAAAAAGTGATTTGAAGTTGTCATGGATTATTGTTAATAATGGTTTTTCTTATTAATCCAATACCTGTTTTGAATGGTATCGGTTAGGTTAGAGATAAGATTAATGGAAGAGTTATTTAACACGGATTTATTTTTTAACCAGAGTTTACCTGCAAGGTAGCGTCTTCTTAAATGTAATGGGCATAAGCTGAGATCGCTTTCCATTACGTGAATAGGGGTGCTTTTTATATAACCTCCTATAATTCTCATTGACTGATTTTGAATCTTTTCTAACTTAATTAAATTAGTCTTACTACTGTTATCATACAAAAAAGCTCGCATAATCTAACCGACTTCTTATAATACTAATATAGAGGTTCCGTAAATGTTTAGGGTGGACACCCCAGCCCGAACCTGATAAAACTTTAAATACATTTAAAAATTTTAATACTTTTGCAGATGTTTCCTTTATATGTTTATTCCACCGCAGTGATCGATCCAGCCACATTCCAAGGTATTTTACGCTATCTACTACTTCCAAAGCAACATCTTTAATTTTTAGACTAATGTTATGTTGTCGACGCCTTCTTGAAAAGGTGCATATTTTACTTTTTAACGGTGAGATATCCAAATTTATAGTTAAAAATAAATCATTTAAAATGTCTAATGCCAATTGCAGTTGATTTTCCGTCTCTTTCAAGTTTTTAGAAGTTATAAATATGACATAATCATCAGCATACTGGGAGATATTAAGATGTGTTTTGGAAATTATAGACTTACATATATCTATAATCTGTTTAACATAGCTATATTGTAGCTATGTTAAACAATAGCGGAGAAAGTGGATCTCCTTGTGCTAGACCGCGACCTGTACTTCTAATTATTTTATAATCTATCCCTTCAATTATTAAAAATCTTTGGCTTAAATAAGTCCAGAGATAGTTGCAAAATTTTGCGCCAACATTAAGGCGATCGAGGGTCGATAAAAGATAATTTATGTCTACATTATTATATGCGTTTTCTAGGTCTAAAAAGCATGCTACTGTAAAAAGATTTTTTGTAAAACCTATTTGAATGCTTGTAACTAAATCGGTTAAATTATCGTGACAGGAACGTGATTTTCTGAATCCTTTAGTTTCCTCAGAAAGTAGTTTTTTGTTTTCAATATACCACTCTATACGGTTATTGATAATGGCATGAAAGACTTTACATAAGCATGAAATAAGAGAAATAGGTCTAAGAGATGAAGTACAACTAGTGTTCCTACCCGACTTAGGTATAGGTATAATGCGAACACAAAGCTTTGCTCCATACCAATGGCGACCCATTGGTATGGAGCAAAGCTTTGTGTAAAAAATATATTATAAAGATTGAGTAAAACGTTTTGGCCCACTATAGGTAAATTAAGTAACATTGAATAAGAGATATCATCTGTGCCCGGGCACGTGTCTTTAGATTTTAAACATTTATAAAGCTCCGATCTAGATATTTCGGTTTCTAATTTAGGATTTTGAGATGTGTAACCTGGGTAGGGTTGACTTACATAGTCAGGGGTTAAGTTGCACAATAATGACTCAGCAATACTTTTTTCAATTTGTGGTTTAACTGATCTATAACCTTTTAACCACTGCATTTTTCTCCACATTTCAGAAGCTGAAGATATTTCATTTAAGGACGTACAAAATTCCCACCATCCTTTACTTTTAGCGTTTCTAATTAGTTTTTGAGCCTTGCGAGTTTTTTCCTGCAATCTATTTAAATTAGCCGGTGTGGAATTCTGTCTAAATGTTTTAAGTGCTAGCCGTCTCTCTGCAACAGCGTGAGATAGATCAGGATTCCAATATGGCTTAGGAATAAAATTAGCCTTGCGATTTAGGCATATTTTAATAAATGGAATACTTGCTTTGCGGCTTTGAACAACAAAGTGATAAAATCATCATAGGCTTCTTGTGGATTACTTGAAATTTCGAACTCTTCTTCTATTACCTGACGATACTTCACCCATTCAGCTTTTTTAAAGTTTCGTCTTTTATGAATAATAGGAGAATGATTCATAGATGATGAAATCTTAATTATTAGGTGGTCACTACCTAAACACTCGTTTGTAACATTCCAATTAAACTTAAAAGCGATATCAGATGATATAAATGTAATGACGGGAGCTGACTGTTGTAAGATACCGCCAACTAATTGTAATCGCGTAGGCCTGCCATCGTTTATAGAAACAAAATTATGGTCTTCTAATAAGTCCAGAATTTGCGTGCCCCTAGAATCGGTTTTATTCGACCAATTAGGGTGATGTCCATTAAAATCTCCAAGTATTAGAGTCTTTTTATCAGAAAACGAAAATATTGAATCCCAATCACTACATGAAGTTCGAGCACTAGGCGAGCAATATAGAGAAATTATATGTTCAACAATTTCACAATTAGAAATTTTAACGGATATCACCTCAATAACCTCGTTGGCACTTCGTAGTGGAAGCAACTGAGCCGAGAGAGATTTGTGTACTATTAAAGCCACTCCGCCATAAGAGTCCGCCCTATCAAGTCTAAATACGTTATATTCTCTAAATTTATATGAATTTTCTCCTGACACAAGAGCTGTTCAAATTCCGCACACTTTGATTTAATACTTTGAGCATTCCATTGTAAAATGTTAAGGCTGTCTTTACCTATTATTACCGAGTAAATTTTGTAAAAAAGACAAGTTCGAGATATTTTTAAATATCCATGTGATTATCCATTCAAAAAATAAGTGCACTACATTCTCGATTCTACTTTTTAAAGGCTCATTACTCTCATTAGAGATAAAACTTTTAAGTTGGCTTAATAAATTAAAGAAAGGAATATCAGATTGTACATTACGATTCTTTTTTTTGTTTTGTTCAGACACTGGTTGATCACATACACTACTTTCAGACTCTGTCGACATATTGCCGTCATGTATATACTCTTCTAAATTAGGTTCTTGAATTCTCTTCTTAATCTTCTTAGTTGTGTCATTTCGAACATATTTTTCTCCCCGACTGTCCAGTTTGTTCTTGTTAATGGGGCTCGATGACACGGCCTGTGCGTAAGTAACTGGTGTAGAATTCTCCTGAACCGGCAAAATATTGCTAAAAAACTTATTTATGGTTCCTGGGATAGGTTCCGGCAATTGAGGCATCTTATTTAAATTACCTAAACGGGGCATTGGCGATTGAGTTGGCACATAAGTAGGTGTTTCGGGCGGTACATACATTGCCATAGCCTTCCTGTATGAAACATTAAATTCAGCCATTATTTCCTGTAACTTCTTCTCCTTTATATATTTTGGACACTGACGATTCAATGCCATGTGATTTTTCGTAAAATTAATACACTTAAATATTGTTGTTTCGCAATTTTCATGCTTACCTCCACATTTGGGGCAGTATTTACGTTTTGAAGGACACATTCTAAGGGTGTGCCCAAAGCGCCAGCATCTCGAACACTGAGTAACAGGAAATAGGTATGGCTCCACCTTAACTTGCATGTCATATATGCACAGATACGATGGTAACGTAGACCCTATGAAACCAACTCGTACCGATTCACTTTCAGTCCAGCCAGATTCTCCATCCCCCTGCTTTCTGCGTTTGAGTCGTTTCACGTTGGCCACCTCAATTGAGCAAGAAAAAGATTCTAACAGTTCTTTTTCTGATAGATCTAATTCGATGTTCTTAATTACACCATAAGAGAGTCCTACTTCAAATGGTCGCTGAAAGCCTCCAGCCCAATTCCACAAGATGATCACACTGTATCAATAAATCAGCATCTTTTTCTCCGTATAGTTCTACAATTATTTTGTATGAATTGATATATTTTACTCGCACTATGTTTAGGTTCTGATTTTTAAATAACTTGGCAAGGGCAAACTGTTTCGGGAACTTCTCTTTAGACGTTATACATATTTCAATACTACCTCTTATTTCTTTAGATTTCTCTTTTCTGCTTTTCACTTCTTCCCAGTCTCCTTCTTGCTCACATCCTTTAGCTTTTTTTTGTTCGATTTGAAGGTCCGAAGGCGAAGTATTCCTACCTCTTTTGCCCAATATTTGGCTAGATTCGTAGTTTATATGCTGTTCCAAAAGATCAGACATTTCCTCTAGTATTGGTTCTTCCCCCGCTGACTCAGTAAAAAGACGATCAGCCTCCATTATTGTTCAACTGAACGGCCGGCCCCGCTTGGCCAAGCCGTAAACGCAGGTAACAAATTCCTAAGCCGATAATAACCGTGCGCGCAACGATACACGTACGAACGGAATGAATGGCGGAGTCGTATTATTACGAGCTGCGTAACCTGTAATGTAAACATTAAATAACCTTTATTTATTACATTAAATAAACGAAATGTTACACAATTACCTACATGTAAGGGACATGAGATATTTATTTCTTAGTTATGTATCTTTTTACTTATATGCTGAATATTGGATGTTATAATAGTACAAATTATTCATATTCATAACTTATGCGATAAAAAACAATACCTTTGATTTGTGCCCATATTAGCTCAATGGCATTGTACTGGCAGTGATAAGGCGGAATTAGAAGTACCCGATGTCCATGTGCTAGAGCTATCTCATCTACTTCATAACGGACTCTTGATGTTTTATTTTCGCGTACCAACTTTACTAAGTCAGACTTTAGCATTTCGGCAGTAGTTTCAATTCCATTTTGGTGTAGCCATGCTACGAGATCAGCTTTCTTGTCGGCCTGAGTAGGCGCTTTATTCACTTGTTTCGAGTGATATGAAGCGTTGTCCATTATTATGATAGAAGGCTCTGGCAGGCTGGGTAATAATTGATTTTCGAACCAATTCGTAAAGCCCCATTTACATTCAGCCACTGCCACTGCTCCTCGCGCTGCCGGCAATACTTCCCTAAATACTGCCGTAGCAGGATCGCGGGAAGTGTGTATTCACACTCTGCCCTACCACTCACATCGCTTTCGGCTTTCGACTATGGCAGACGTCGAAATAATTACAGCGTCCGCGCTGTGTCTTCTTGCAATACAAAATTATGTTAATAATTTAAAAAGATATCAAGTTCAAAAGAAGATAGATAGATAGATAGAAAATTTATTTGCTTAAAAACATGGTACATAAGATGATCAATGACGTGGAACTGACATGTTTTGCCATAATTGGCATGGAAAAAATGATATGAAATACAGCTAATTACACAAACCCGATGTTGCTTAAAAGTTAGGTACACACATTCTTTTTGAATTCAAATATTATGTACAATTAAATACTTATACAGATCCACTCTATTTGAATTCTTATACAGTAAATTGTTCATAAATTATTAATTGAATTATTATATTATTGTTACATAAATAATATTAAATATTATATGAGATTAGTTAAGCTATTATTATTTTATTAATTACACTTCAGTATAAACTAATTCGTAATTTTAATTACAATAAAATTATAATTTAAAAATCTCAGGCTATTATGCAAATATTACCTTTTAACTTATTTTACATTTTAATTAATAAATAATCAATATGAGTTACTAATCGTTTTTAGAAATAAAATGTCAATGTTCATTAATTCCTTAAACTAAATTTTATATTAATATAATAAATTTGACGAATTTATAATTAATTATGTACATAGGTACTATGTTAACTCAAAAAAGAAAATTCGTATTCGTAGAAGATGATGAATTGTGGTTTTTATCGTTGAAATCCCATATAGTTTTTTCTGATTCCAGCAGTTCTAAAAACTTTATTGTATTTTCATTAATCCACTCGAAAGGCATTTTGGTAGATCGTATTTATTTAATAACAGGACGGCACGCACGTCCGTTCATCCAGGCGCTTGTCGCGAAGTGAGCGATGGAGCTGAATGTGAACACACACTGCCGCTCGCGCTGCCCGTCCTTTGACTTCCGCACGAAAAACCGACATTTCGGGCAGTGTCAGCGGCAGCGGCAGTGTCAGCGCGAGTAGCCCGTTTACATACTGCCCTGCTCACTGCCCTGCTCACTTCCCTGCCCAAACGGGCTGAATGTAAATGGGGCATAAAAGTGTCTGTATCCATCTCCTCGTGGTAATTGTATATAGGTCAGTGTATAGGAGTAATAATATGCGTAGTATCCTCTTAGTAGTCTGTGGTAATAGTGTTCTGTGGGTTTCATAGATAAATAAATATGTAGCAAGCTAGTTTAGGTTTAGTTTCATGGGTTAGTTTGCAGTTTCAGTTTATACAAAGGTACTCTGTGTTAGTTTGTGATCAGTAATCTTATGAATATGATTTTATTTTTAATATTTCTGAATTTCTGAAAACTTCGGATGAAAAAGAGAATTCAATTTCAATTACATTTTGAAACGATAAGAAACAGGAATGGCCTTTAGTGAAATTTGTAGAATTTGTTTAAGCGTAAATGTACGCATGTATGTACTAAAGAAGACTGGACTCCAACATTTGTTTAAAGCATTGACGAACAGATTTGTAAGCATGGAGGTTTGTAAATTTGATTTTATATCCGTTGGTTTTTTTTATTGCAAATTGAAGTTGCGGTAAAATGTTGGGGTAAAGTTTACAATTCGGTCGCCTGAATTAGAGGGTGGGAGGTGGTGTGGGGGGAGGGGGAGGAGTTGTAGAGTCACCCCCTACTTCCACTTTCTGCCGGATGTGCTTAGTTTTTTTTATAAATTTTTAAAAATCTCGTTTTGAGGTGTTTCGTAATTTTTATGACAATTTTAACCTGATTTATGGGGAGAGAGAGTTGGGGGACCGAAGCCCCACGCCACTAAACGTGGTGCAGTCGAGGGAAGTCCGGTCGACGGAGTCCCGCTTAGCGGGGCTCCTACTTCTGAGTGGTTTACAAAAAAATTACCACGAAGAGGATGACGGGGTTCTAATCGGGCTTCTAACCTAACCTGTCCGAGTCGGGGTGCTCCACGTCCCAGGCTCGCTTCGCTCGCTATTGCACTAGATATTGACAGGCCTGTTGGTCTAGTGGTTAGTGATCCTGACTACTATGCCGGAGGTCGTGGGTTCGATCCCACCCAGGACAAATGTTTGTGTGATGAGCACAATCATTTGTTCTGTGTCTGGGTGTAATTTATCTATAATATTTATGTATTTAGAAATATATAAGTATGTTTATCAGTTGTCTAGTACCCATAACACAAGCACTGCTTAGCTTGGGACTAGATGGCGTTGTGTGATAGTTGTGGAATATTATTATTATTATTATTATATATCACCAAAATATTAACTTTTATAACTACTTTAGTTTATAAACACAATTTATGGCTGCTACGATTTGTAAGAAAGGATCTTTGCAATATTTAGCAGTATTCCGCTGCCACAAATATTTCATTATTCACCAAAATTCTGAAACTCGGAAGCAACGGCATGACGAAAAGCTGTCAACAAAATTGTCGGCATAGCGATTAATTTTACATATTTTTAAATCGATTCAAATTGAAATTGGATGAATCAATTCACAAAAAATCGAAATCTAGATTGATTTTGCAAAAATCAATCTTTTTTTTATTTGCGTTAAAAGTTTATATTAACAATATCAAAAGATACAATAAAGTACAGTTAACATTGAATGATTGAATTAAAAACTGTAATTTTTTATGAGTTGCAATGCATTCAACTAATTGTAAATAATTTTACAAATCTTAATAAAACCGAAAAAGATTCGATCTCGATTCTCTAGGGTGAAATATCGATTCAGTACTATATATCAATATGACATTGATAGATGAAACGTCAATAACTTAATTAATTAGTTATTTACCAATATTTTTAAAAAATAATTAAAAATACTTCGAAACTGCTCCGGCAGAAAAAATTGAGTGGCAGTGCTTCAGATAAACCCCTTGAAATAAACACTCGTCTAACCAAGGTTCTAATGAGACTGAACAAGCCACAGATCAGGATAGTAACAAGTGCTATCACAGGACATGGCTCTTTTAACAAACATTTGTTCACCATAGGTGTTACTGACAGCCCCCTGTGCAGGGCATGCATGGAAGAGGAAGAAACGGCGGCTCACGTGTTGTTGACATGTCCAGAAGTCGCTTCATACAGGGCTAAACATCTCGGCACGCCGGGATCGCTCCCCGAAGTTGCTTGCAACATCAAGGGACTGCTGAGCTTCTTCGGGGAGATATTATGGCTCGAATAAGCATATTATTCCTGCCCACACGCAAAATACGCGCTTAGACGTGGAGTTGCGGAAAACAGCCCATTGTAAACTAAAACTAAAACTAACTAAAAACCCCCTTGACTCCGCCACAGTGACAGAATCTTCAAGTTCAGGCAACCGAATTCTAAACCCAACCCTGCAGCATTAAATAAAGAGTCAAATACAACCAGAATCTGAAAAACAATAATTTGGAATCCTGGGCCGCACATAATCAGTACTATCATGAAGTAATATCTACTACGTACTAAAAGTGACGACGAGACGTAGTGTTTGCAACACGCGTTGGGGCCTGCGGGCTCAAAATTACCGAGTCTGTTGCCTCCTTCCAAGCGACTCGCACTGCTGCATAGATTTGTTCGCGGTGTCTGTTCTAGTACATTTTACTTCAACGAGTATTATTGTGAAGTTGTTCCAAAGAATTAACATCCACCTTAGTTTGGTGTTTCATCCACTTATAGCAGTTCTATCAAACTTTTAAACTGGGAGATTAAGAGTGCACAGAAATTCCCTCATATTCCTATCAGACAGAAATCACAAGAGGGAATAATCTGCACATTTAAATAAATAAATATAGGAAATCTTCACACACATGCAATATAATCCTGTCCTGCACTGATGTATAGTCTCTGTTGTGACTAAATGATGTCTGTAGGAGATTATTATCACTGTTGGGGGTGGCACCATGTCCTCACAGAATACCAAAATAAAATAGCAGCTTAATGCTGTTCCGATGGTGAGTGTAGAGAATGGGAGACCCTATATACTGGTAGGTAGTGAGGCGTTCCGTCTTGGTCCTGAGGGGTGACAATTAATTGGGGATAAATGTAGATGTCTATGGGCCACAGTATTCACTTACCATCGGGTAGACTGTGTGCTTATGAAATATTGCAATTACATATATTTAAAATGCAAATACAAACTGCAAAATAACTATTTTCATATTGCATTTGATATCCTTTTTTCTTCAAAATCTATTT